CCCTAGGGGGTCCGCGGAGGTACTGCATGGGGGTCGCGAAAGTTTTGGTCGTTTAGACTTTTCTTTTATATTACCCCCTGCGATTATTTCCACTAATTGAAATGTCTTTAAATCCACATTAACATGAATTCAACACACTGTAGTAAACAGATAAATGGAGGCAGAAAATGTCTTTCAGTCATCAATGCACACATTCAGCAACACACAGGAGCTCTTTCTAGCTGGGTGTCGTTTTATTCACAACACCTGTCCCATCAACCAGGAATCAGAATCACAAATACTTTAATAATCCCAGGGAGGAATTACTTTAGTTACATTACTCCATCTGTAATAGAGTGACTGTAGCACTAGTTTGATAGAACACCATTTCCTACTAAATATAATCAGGGGGTCCCCGCTCCATCTGGCCATCAGTTTGGGGGTCCTTGGCCTGGAAAACGTTGAAGACTCCTGCTATAGAGAGATAAAAAAAATAATAATATGACAAGGTTGATCTTGGGCTGTGGGGGAAGTAGGAGTAACCTGGGAGAACCCATGCTTGCTAAAAGAGACCATGTAAAATTCAGGCTTGATAAAAACCCAAGATTTTCTAACTGCAAGTCAACAATGTTGGAATGAGGTCACTATTTACCATTTTTATTGATATTTGTTAAATGTTTGCTTTAGTTCACTAAGATATTTATTCTCTCTGTAAGAATTTCTTAATCTATTATTTGTAATTTGCAATTTGCAGCCTCATCCTGCAACAATAAGGCTACTTTCTGCTATTAAATGCTTTTATATAGCAGGTTAGACCCTGCCAAGGGTTAAAAAAAAAACAGCATGTAATTTAATTAATGCTTTTCCAGGATATAGAAACCATTTTTAAAAATTTTGGTTTGGCTAGTTAACTTGTTAATATTGCTTTTATATAAAATCGTAATTATCAAATAAAATATTTGTATTATGCTGCATTTATCTTTGGAAACTGGAGTTGAAATAATTGCGGCTCCAGTGATTTTAGTGTTTAGTTTTTCTTATCCTGTTTCATGTGATCATATTATGGAAACTCTTCTACGTCTGATGCATCATTAAGTCTTTGTAATTCTATATTAAATTTAGACTTTTTATGTCCAACAAGATGTAATATTCACCGGTACAGTTATTTTTACAGCTTTTGGATTGGTTTGTGATTCACTACCCTGAAAATGAGCCCATTCAATAGCTGAGATTAATGGGATCCTTAGAAAAAGCGGCATGAATCAGAAGATCAGGACCCTGGACAGCAGCCATGAGCGCCGAATCTGAAGGACGGAAGTTTTTTTTAGGTCACGGCCTACTTCATGCTGTGTGGTGGTGCATGTTTATCCCAAACAGCCATAAATAAAAGGGTTAAAAGTCTGCAGTCCAGCTGTGATGTCAGAGAAGGATTCCCCTCTTCTGGGTCAGAACATCAGTTTGCAGAAAGCTGTCATGGTGGCCTGAGGCTGAACCGCAGAGCTTCTCCTTCCAGACCAGCGATCCTTTCCGAAGTTTCCCGAAAGAAGCCGAGCCCCGGAGCCTCCACACACCCGCCATCAACCGAAATCTTCATCTTCACGCCGATCCCCCCCCCCCCCTCCATCGGTTGAAGTCTGCCGTGTTCGGGTTGGGGGAGGTGGGGAGGACGACATTCATGAAATACAGAAAAAAAAATCGCTTTCCATCCATCCTGAGCCCCTCCCAGCCCTCTGACTGCCGGATCCAAGGCTTGAATAAAGGTAATTACCCTCATTTATTTATGAATCCATGTTCAAGCAGGAGATTTAGTCTAACAGGGAGGCGGTGGGTTAAATTCTGCAGCTTTTCTTTTATGGTTCTGGAGTATTATAGCCTGGATTAAGCGGCACCATTCGGGGGATTCAGGGCGTGAAACCATCAGGAGCAACATTTTCTGGGAATCTTTTCAAATAAAAAACAGTTTAGGCACAAATGACTGAAAATCCTTTCATTTTAAAAAGGAAAACACAGGAAATCCACTCAAATCAGTGGAAATTACGCACCGAAATCTTATTAATAACATCGAAGTTTTTCCGGATTTGTTCAATTAAACTTGTTTTAAATCCATTGTTTGATTTTTAAAATGCAATAAATCTGAGCTTTTCCCCCCTACGTTTAGATTTTTCAAAGACATGGCGGGTTTTCATGTATGTTTGGGATATACCCACCCCTCCATTGGGGGGATTTTCTGGTCCATCCTGCTGGAAACGGTTACGCAATGCACTACGGCACACATTCAATCTGCTGACTAAGGAGCTTATTTGTTTTTAGAGCCAAACGTGAGAAAATACGACTAATAATTTTTAAAGAACATTGGATGGAAATAATGATCAATGAGAGGTTTTATTTGCAAATTAGAATAAAATCAGTTCTTATTGATTTTCTTGTGTTTAATCTGATGTAAAAACGTTTTATTTTTTCTTGCTGATCATCTGTTTAAGCTGGAAATGTGCAAAGCTTCGCCCACCATGTGTCTGTGGAGGATTGAGAACCTGAGTAGGAGGAGGAGAGAGAGACACAGCATGCTTCGCCTCTGAACACAAAATAAATGCAACCTTGCATTCTTCATTCATGCCCCTCAGGTTTCCGCTCCCATTTCCTCCACCCCCAGTCCACATCCACGCTGGTCACGACACACCCCTTTGCAGAAGGAGCAGGTGCTGCTGGATGCTTGGTTTGGGGGAAAGAAAATGGTAGAGGGGATGGAGGCAAAACAAGGAATAAGAAAGCCAGAGGGGTCAAGTTACTAAGTACTTAAACAGTTTTTCTTTGTAGTTGAGTATATTTACTTTTTACCAGGGGCGAATTTAAGAAATTTGGGGCCCTAGGCAAAGACAGACAAGGGGCCCTCTGAATTGAGAAGACAACAAATAAAACAGACCCATTATACAGATACAGAAATTTTAATAGAATAGACATCCATTATCTGTTCTAGGTTGTGTCCCTCTCTTCTTGTCCTTTTTCTTGTT